TAAGGGGTGGCTCCATGCCGACCCTGGGAGCCCCGGATCAGGGCCGTGGCAACCGCACGCCGTGGCCCCGATCCGGCACTTTGCCACTCCACAAAGAGCTGGCAAATGCCGCTCCTGTTTGGAGAGGCAAAAAGCCTCCCTTACTGCCATCGCCGTGGCTCTTCTGCGCTCTTTTGGCGCAGTGTGTCTGTACACTGCGCTAGGGGACCGCCCTGATGCTGCACGCTGTGCAGTGAGGCGCACGGAGTTGGGGCGGACCATGTGCGGTCGCCACACCCCAACTCCACCCCCAGGCTGGCCCTTTTGGCCAGTCTCTACAGGCCTATAGAAACATAGAGTTGGAAGGTCTAGTCCAACACTCTGCCCATGCAGGAATACACAATTGAAGCATTCTGGAAAGATGGCCACCTAGCCTCTGTTTAAAGACCCCCTAAAGAAGGATATTGCAAATGCATACAAAAACAGGCTTCCTTTGGAAAAAGTGCAAGGAAACAGATGCACCCATTTTCAAGCCAGCTAGATTTGCAGGGGAGAGATTTGCAAACCAAAGCAGAAGTGGGAGGATGGAGTGGAAGAAAAGTCTGACCTGCAGCGAGACTAAGTGTGCAGATTTGCCTAGTGCCAAAACAACCTGCAGAGATAATCCAGTTTGACATTGCTTTAAATGCCTTGGCTCAATGCTAGGGAATTCTGGGACTTGTAGTTTTGTGAGCTATGTAGCCTTCTTTGTCAGAGAGCTCTGGGGCCACAACACACTACAATTCCCAGGATTCCTTAGCATTGAGTCAGGGCAGTTAAAGCAGTGTCAAACGGGATTATTCCTGCAGTGTGTTTTGGATCGAAGACTATTTACAGCCAGGGATTATTTACTCTGTTATTTACTCTGATTATTTACATATGGTGCGTTTGCACAGAAAACAGCATTGTGCAGCAAACAGGTAAAATATTATTGCTGTTTTCTTGTGTATGAATGTTTTCTGTGCAGAAAATGCTGTTTTCTGTGCAGAACAGGCTGTTTCCCATGCAAAAAAAAGTATACGTTTTGCATAGAAGAAGTCCTGAACTATAAAGTTTCTCATCAGTCCAGCTTTCCTGATACTCAAGAAACACACTTTCAACCATTAAAACTTTTTTTTAAATTATTCTTTCCATCCCTACCTAATGGGGACCAATACCTTAGGTGATTTTGAATGGGAACTAGAAAAATTGATGGAGAATAAAGCTTTTGATGGGCCTAAATACCCTAAAGGTCCCAGGCACCATCTGATCTTGGAAGCTAAGCAGGGTCAGCGCCGGTTAATACTTGGACGGGAGACCGGCAACAAATACCAGGCTCTATTTCAGTGGAAGGAACTGGCAAAACCACCTCTGAGGATTCCTTGCCAGAGAAAACCCTATGACATTCATGGGGTTGCTATAAGGCAACGTGCGACTTTGAGGGCGCATGTGCATGCACACACACACACAAACACACACAAACACACAGAGCTTTTGATGAATACAAAAATCTGGGAAGGGGCCTGTGTGGTTGCTAGTGCCACATTTAGCTCAGAGACTGCACCTTCCAATATGCCTCTGGGTATCAGTTCCTGAGGAACCCAAAGTGGAAGGTTCAATTGCCAAATTTTTGGGAAGAGGCATTCCCTCACAGGGATGATGTTTGCTGCGAAACCTGCAAGCATCATCTTGTTATTAGTTGTTGGGTGCCTTCAAGTTGTTTCTGACTTATGGAGACCCTAAGGTGACCCTACACAAGGTTGTTGTTTTTTTATGGGGGGCAGGTTTCTTCAGAGGGGATTTGCCATTGCCACCCTTTAAGGCTGAGAGAGTGTGACTTGCAAAGGTCACCCAGTGGGTTTGCATGGCTGAGTGGGGATTCAAACCTCGCTCTCCAGGGTCATAACCCAATGCTCACATCACTATACAGAAAATACTGGCGCAACGAAGAGGCATTCCCTCCTTTGAGGGAATGGGAAGCTGGAATGCCTCTTCTCAAATGATGCAAACAAATGTGTGTGATTTTTCATCTGAATGGTGGCAGTGATTTTCTTCCTTTCTCTCTGTCCTTCCATGCGCTCCTGTATGTCACTGGTCTTCCACAATCTCCCTTCCTCCAGCCTGAAGTTGGAATGCGATAAACTTGCAAGTGAGAAGTCAGAAATGCAGCGCCATTACGTGATGGTAAGTTTCGAACTCAAGACAGAAGCAGGGAGGGTGCGGCTTGGCAAGGAAGGCCTGGGTTGGCGATCATCAGTTGCTTCTCTTTATCTTGAGGACTAGAAACTTAAGGCTGAAAACCTGATTCCACCATCGGTGTGTATATGTTTGAATAATAAGCTGTAAGCAAGTGTGGTTAGTACTTAATCCATAAGGTTTAATAACATCACCAGGGGCTGTTCCTAAATCTCAGGTTTTGGCCCGGAAACCTCAGGGCCTGAGATAATCCTGAATAGACAACCCTACGTTCTGCATATGCTCAATGGCACCCTTTCACAGGTAAACCTCCTATCTTCCAGACATTAACCAAACAACTGCTTCAATAGGTTTTGGAGGACCGATTGGCTTAGATGGGTACAATGTGCTAGATTTTCCATTTTTGTCATGCTGTTGTGTTTTTCATGGCTTATGTTTTGAACTGTTTTTGTTTTAAAATTGATAGCTTAATAACATTTAAGCTTTTGGCTTTTGTGAATCTTTAACCGCGTTTTTAGAATCTATTGTAAAGCCCGAACTGCGAAAATTTGGAGAGATAAATACAGTAAGAGAAATAGTCATAATAGGAGTGATTGTAGTGAATGGAGTGTTGGACTGCGGCTCTGGAGACTAGGGTTCGAATCCCCACTCGGCCATGGAAACCCAGAGTATGATCTTAGGCTCAGAAGAAGGCCATGGCAAACCACTTTTGAACAAATCTTGCCAAGCAAATCGTGCCTTATGGTCATCATAAACTGGAAATGACTTGAAGGCACATAGCAATAACCAAATAATAATAGTAATACAGTGGGCTCTTGTTATCCACTGGGGTTTGGTTCCAGGACCCTGGAGGATACCAAAATCCGTGGATGCTCAAGTCCCATTAAATACAATGGTGTAGTAAAATGGTTGTTGTTCTTGTTGTTTTGTGCCCTCAAGTTGTTCCCAACTTATGGCGACCCACGGGGTTTTCTTGGCAAGTTTCTTCAGAAAGGGTTTTGCCCTTGCCATCCTCTGTGGCTGAGAGAGTGTTACTTGCCCAAGGTCATCTAGTGGGTTTACATGATCGAACTGGGATTAGAACCCTTGTCTCCCAAAGTCATAGTCCAGTACTCGAACCACTACACCACGCTGGCTGGTGAAATGATGTCCCTTATATAAACTGGCAAAGTCAAGGTTTGCATTTTGGAATGTATGTATTTTAAAAAATATATTTTTTCGAGCCGTGGATGCTTGAATCTGTGAATAAGAGATACACAGAGGGCCGACAGTAGTAGTAGTAGTAGTAGTAGTAACTGCTTTGGGTCCCAGTTTTGGGAATAAAGCGGGATACAAATTAATACGATCAATCAATCGTAATACAGTGGGCCCTTGTTATCTGCTAAGGTTTTCTTCCAGGATCCCCATGGATATTAAAACACATGGGTGCTCAAGTCCCATTAAATGCAATGGCAGAGTAAAATGGTATCCCTTATATAAAAGGGCACCATCAAGGTTTACTCTTTGGAATTTATACCTTTTTAAAATATTTTCAAACTGTGCATGCTTGAATCTGTGGATAAAAGAAAATCCATGTATATGGAGGGCTGACTGTAGTAGTAATAATACAACTTTGCTTGGATTGTCTTTTCCTGCATGGCAGAATGGGGTTGGAATAGATGGCCTCTGGGGGTCCCTTCCATGAATCTAATAGGAGACACTTCAAGGCTATGATGTTATCAGTACCTCCGAATTTCTGCAAAACGCATTGAGAATTGGTGTGAATTTTTATACACATAGCAGAGAATTGGGCTTTTTGCTGGCACGGGTCTGGCCGATGCTCCATTTGGTGCAAAACCTGGTTGGTTTTGAACCCAACGAGCGCAATGCAGCCATGTTCCAGGTGGAGTGTGCCGCTGTCTCCTTGGAGGTCACCGGCTGTGTTTGTCACAGCCGAGAGGCTCCGGCTTGATGGATTTTTATTTTCCGCCATCAAGGAGTCATTAGCGCTGACGAGAAAAGATTTCTCCAGCTGTAGCGAAGCAGGCCTCCCCTGGAGAGGGGAGATAAGAGCGAAGGGAAAATGGATGGATCCTATCTCCCAGGAGAGCTTCAGCTTCAAAAAATAAAAAATAGAGGACAAACACCCGACGGGATGCCTTCTCTATCTGTTTCCTCTCTGCTGTGATTCTGGGTTGTGTGGGTATCCCTCTTTCGGAGTTCTCTGGTTGTTGTGGTGTGCCTTCAAGTTGTTTATGACTTATGGCAACCGTATCATGGGGTTTTCTTGGCAAATTTCTTCAGCAAGGGCTTGCCATTGCCTTCCTCTGAGGCTGAGAGAGTGTGACTTGCCCAGGGTCACCTGTTGAGTTTTCCTGGCCTCTGGAGTTGTGGTCCAGTGCTCAAACCACTGCGCCACGCTGGCTCTGAGTTCTTGGGGGAGCCAACTATAATTAAAGGTTACAACAATAATCACAATTTACGTTCTCATATACGCACACACCACACACAGAGGTTGAGCATCCCTGATCCAAAATGCTCTAATATCCAAAACTTTTCGAGCACCGGCACGACCCCAAAAATGGGAAATCCTACACCGGTACGCAACGTGCACAAAGTTTGTTTCATGCACAAAATTATTTAAAATATTATTTATAAAATTTCCTTTGGGCTATGTGCATGAGGTGCACAATTGTGTGTTTAGACTTGTGTTCCCATATCCAACATACCGCTATGTAAATGCAGGTATTCCAAAATCTGAAAAAATCTAAAATCTGAAATACTTCTGATCCCAAGCATTTCAGATAAAGGAGACTCAGCCTGTGATAGCCAGTGTGATGTAGTGGTTTGAATGTTGGACTATGACTCTATAGAACAGGGTTCGAATCCGCACTGGTGACCTTGGGCAAGGCACACTCTCTCAGCATCAAAGGGAGGCAAAGGCAAATCCCCCTTTGAAAAAACTGAACCAGGAAAGCCCCAGGTTAGATTGGCTTAGGGTCGCCATAAGTTGGAAATGACGAAGGCACCCAACAACAAGTGACCGTGAAGTATCCCTGTGACATGCGTGACCTCAGAAGGAAAGCAAGACCTTCATTTTTCCAATCTTTCTTAAGATCTTCCATGATTGAGTAGAGAAGAGGGGTTGTGTTGTTGCTATTGTGTGCCTTCAAGTCCTTTCCGACATGCGGGGGCCCTAAGGCGGACCTATTATAATGGGAAGTGAGTGGAATTTAATCTTTGTTTTAAAAAAGATCTCTCCTGGGTCAAAATTGGTAAAACATAAACGTGGCCAAAATGCCCCCCCGTACCACAACAGGGCTCTTTGGGGCAACCCATGGTGGGCCACAAATATAACCCTAGGGGGCCACATACTATTATCAATAAAAATATTATTTATCATATTTACAACCTTGCTCTTCACATATGGCCCACAGGCTGCATTTTGCCCACCTCTGAAATAAAGGGGTGGATGGATATGACCCAGCAGGCCGTCATCTTATATTTTTGGTTTTTTCTCTCCCTTCTTTCCTTTCCTTTGAAATCCCTAATTCCTTCTCCTTTCCTAGTACTATGAGATGTCCTACGGGCTCAACATCGAAATGCACAAACAGGTGAGATCTCGCTCGGTAATTTGTCTTGACGGGGTTGCCTTGTTTAACAAAGCCACCTCGAGAAGTGTGACTGAAAACAAATCCGCTTCCCAGTTGGCAGCTGGGTGCTGCCATGCCAGGGAGAATGGGGAATCCGCTCCGGATTGTAGTCCAAAATTTCCAGGGACTGCCAAAGGCATTAATCCCCATCTCCCCTGTCCCAGCAGAGTCTTACCCTGTCTCCAAAGTAGGTTCATCATCTCAGATAGTTCCCGTAAAGATTTACCATTCTTCCGCGTCCACCCACCCAACTTTTTCCTTCTTGTTTTCCTTGGGCTGAATTTCAAATTGTAAGTTCTTTGGAGCAGAGACTGAGTTCTCCTGTGCTCCATCAAGGCCAATGGATGATGCTCCATGGGTGCAATATAACTCAATACAGCAAGAATGTCCTTAGAATTGGTGTCTTCTGCCTTCTTGTCCACACTTTTAAGCTGTGATCTCCATCCCTGCTTAGGATCAGGGACCGGCTGTTAATTTGAACATGAGAAAGGGAACTCACTTCTTCATTACTACTTTAATTTTCCAATTTATGCATGGTTGTGGGGCCACCCCAAGTCAGATCCTGACAGGTTTGTGGGTCAAGAATTATCACCAGCTCACACAAGGGTGTAGATTCTACATGTCTTCAGATATTGGATTGCATCTCCCAGCATTCCTTGCCATTGCTGGGAGTTGCATTCCAACGACATCTGGAAGGGTTCAAAGATATAGCCATGTTAGTCTGTAGAATCAGTATGCAGAGAGATCTTGTAACATCTTTGAGACAAACTGAAATAAAGAAGTTGGAAGCATGAGCCTTCATAGACTTCAGTCTACTTCCTCAGATGCACCTACGAAAGCTCATGCTGCCAACTTCTTTCTTTCAGTTAGTCTCAATGGTGCTACAAGATCGCTCTGTATACTGACATCTGGAAGGGTTCCAGATTTCTAGTTTCAAAACCTTGGCTTGCCTTTCCCCATGAGGATAGTGGACTATTTTTTTTTAAAAAAATTTCATTTATTTATTTCAAGATTTATATCCCCCCTTTCTCCCTCAATGGGATTTACTGTGCAGATGGGGGTTGGAGTCCACTAGCCTTGGTGAAGCATGATATTGGGGAATGTTTGTTCTCTGTCTTGCTTACTACATTGCAAGAATTAATATTCTTGGTTTGAAAAAGAACATTAGGCACCTTTTAAAAAACCTCTCAGTGCCCGTTGGACAGAACTTGGAAGACAATTGTGGTTGCAAAATGTGAACTTTGCCTTTTCTCTGCATTTTAAGGCTTGTTGTTACCTTCCCTCCCCTCCTTAAAAGTGCTCCAGCTTATCGCTTGGCACATTCTAAAAAAGGATTCTAGGCAGAAGAATGGCAATGCATATATATATATATATATATATATATGTTCAGATCACCGTTTCCCAAGAAAAGGTTGAAGTGTCCCCAGTCTCCAAATAGTACATTTGCAATACTATGTTGGCGTCTTTCCAAACCAATGCTCTCTGTCTCATCTCTTTTCAGGCTGAAATTGTCAAGCGGTTAAATGGAATCTGTGCCCAGGTCTTGCCCTACCTTTCGCAAGAGGTAACCTTTTATCTCTCTTATTTTTCACCTCCCCGGTTGGAAACATTAGGGGACTGGAAGAGAGTTGTTCTCCTAACTAAATTGGGGGGGGGGGAGAAATTAAGACAGGATCTTTATTCGATCCCTTCTGTACTCATCTTGTTCTTCTCAGTAACCTTGTTTTGGAACTTGATGTGCCAACCTGGCACCCTCCTGATGACAAATTAATTGTGCAGTAAGGCCCACACAACCCACAAAGTCCCTGATCCCTGCTCCGTCTGTCCCCCTTCACCAGATCTTTCCCTTTGTAGCAAATCCTCCATTTCTTCCTACTCCTTAGGAGGTACAAACACACTAGTGCAGTGGGCCCTTGGTATTCACTGGGGTTTGGTTCCAGGATCATCCATGGATACCAAAATCTGGATGCTCAAGTCCCATTAAATACAATGGTCTAATAAAATGGCGTCTTTTGTATACAATGGCAAAATCAAGATTTGCTTTTTGGACTTTATTTATTTATTTATTTATTTTAATATTTTCAAACCATCGATGGTTGAATCTATGGATAAAAAAACTCCATGGATATGGAGGACCAACTCTATGACAGATATGCAAGGCTCTGGGATAAGTCCTATCCCAAGATCTCTTGAGAGTTGGGTGACTTGGGAACTTTACTTTCTCCATCTTCTCCATGACAGCCCTTCAGATATTTAAAGATTGGTATCATGTCACCTCTCAGTCTTCTGTTTTTGAAGTTAAACATACCTGGCTTCCTAAGCCCTTCTCTATAAGGCTTGCTTTCCAGATCATCTTGGTCACCATTCTCTGGACACGCTCCATCTTGTCAATATCTGTCTTAAATGTGGTGCCCAGAATTGGACACAGTATATTGGCTTTTTTGGTCACACTGCCGGCTCTCACACTGCCGGCTCTCTTCTATTTTTTTAAATCATCTTTTATATTTTTCCCATTTCTCCTGGTATGGAAAGATGTAAGAAAGTTAAAAAAATCAATTTGCTTTTTTTTTTTTAATTTTTTTATTGCTACATAGAAAACATACAAAATTTAACAATCCTACATAAACACACAAACAAACACAGCTTGGAAGTCTTACTTATTAACGAAGTCTTGATGTTTCTTCAATATATTCACATCTGTTGTAGTTTCTTAAAGATATTCAAATCTTTTTTCATATTGTAATATACTATAATATTATCTTCTAATTTATTGTAACACAATATTTTACTTTTACATCTGATCCCATCACCCATCATTACCCATCAATATCTAACATTGACAATATATTTCATTTAATATTCTACATCTATAATAATAATAATAATAATAATAATAATAATAATAAATTTTTATTTATATCCCGCCCCTCTGCTTAGCAATCAGGGCGGCTTACAACAATTAAAATACAATAGTTAAAATACATTATAAAATCCCAATCCCTCCACCCATCCCTCCCACCCAATAACATTTCTCTATAATAACATTTCCGTTTAATCTTTAAAGCCCATTGTCATTATTTCTCCCCGTTCTTTGCTTATAAAATTTACTACTTTTTACTACTTTTTAATATTTATTGACTATGATTGAAGATGATATAGAGAAACAAAAGGAAAGACTTCTGTATTATATGATAATAGCAGCTAGATTAGAATATGCAAAACTTTTTTGGGGGGGGAATCATTTATACCCACTATACATGACTGGATGACAAAATTATTAAATTTAGCTGAGCTGGATAAACTGATGTGTCTGATGAAAGAAAACGACGTAGAAAAGTTTGTACAGAGCTGGGAGCAAGTAATGAAAAAATATCCATTTGCCCAGAAAAAGGCACACTTTTGCTTATTCAATCTTTCCTCGCAACTTTCTCCACCTGTGAAGTCGTAGGCTTTCATGGCCAGCATCCATAGTTTTTTGTG